TTCAGCCAGTGACCCATCTAAAATTGTTTCCTGTGTATGGTTGTGAGGTAGGGATCGGGGCTCACGCTGTTCCACGCCTTCTTTCCGCACATGTTGTTAAGAACTCTTCTTTCCTCATTGAATTACCTTGGTGTCTTTGTCAGAAGATCAGTTGACAATGTCCATGTGAGTCTACTTCTAACCTCTCCTCTGTCCACCTTTTGTCAACTACCATGCTGCTTTGGTTATTTTAGATCTTTAATACGTTTTGCAAGTAGTGTGAGTCCTTTGATGTCCTTTTCCAAAGTTGTTTTGACTCTTTGAGGTCCTTTGCAAGCCATTAATTTCAGAAAATCTGCTGTGATTTGTACTGGGGTCACATCGAATCTACAGATCACTTTAAAAGAGAAATGACTTCACAATACTGAGTCCTCTGTAAACACAATTTCTCTCTCCACTTGTTCGGACTTGTAGATACGTGCAGCTGCTGTAAATACTGTTGTTATTGGGCTGTCCAATTGATTTGTGCTAGTGTAAAGAAATACAATTGATTTCTTAGAATTTGGTGGCTTTAGGGAGGTATAATTTACATACCATAAAAATCCTGTTTTTAGTCTACAACTTAGTGTGTTTTTAAATAAAACTCTGCAGTTGTAAACCTTTCTGCCTTCTCCAGGTTCAGAGCCTTTCTGTCCCTCCAGAGAAAGGACTCTTCACAGTCAGTCCCACTCCCAGCCCAGCCCCATGCCACCATTGATCTCCTTTCTATTGCTATAGTGTGCCTTTCTAGAAGTTTCTTATAGGCAGAATTATATAAATCTTGTCATATATGTCTGGCTTCTGTCACCTGGTGCAATATTTTTGTGGTTCATCTATTCTACTGCATTAAATAATTCTTTTTTATTTGTTGTTAGTGTTTCATTATACAGACAGAGTACATTCACCAACTGATGGACAGTTGGACAGTTTCTAATTTGGAGCTATTATAAATACCAGAGCTGTAGACATTAGTGTATGAGTTTTTATGAGTGTCTGTTTAATTTTTTTGGTACATGTTTACTGTATTTGAAGGTTGTATTCTTAATAGATTTTGGCACATATATATATATATAACACCTCTTAATTCTTTTTTATTTTTTCTTTTTGGTAACTGGTATAGAATTCACAACCTTTTACTTGTCAGGCAGGTGCTTTGCTGCTGAGCTGTCTCCCTGCCATTACCTCTTAATTATTTTTGCACCTGCTCCCCTCCTCTCCCTTCACCTCTTGGTCTCCTTCACTTTTGCAAAACCTCCATCTCCATTTTTCCTATTCTCTGTCTTTTATTTTGCTTTCTACTTATATTTCAAGTTGCTTGTAGAAGAGAAACCATGCAATATTTAAGTTGTGTGTCTGGTTTATTTCATGTGTGGGCGTGTGTTTTTGTTTCTCTTGAGTATATACCTATGAGTGGAATTGCTAATTTCCATAGTACATCTGTGTTTAACTATTTGAGGAATTGCTGTAATGTTTTCCAGAGTAGCTACACTAGTTTTCATTGTGTGTGAGGTATCTGATTCTCCACATCCTCGTCAACACTTATTATTATTTATCTTTTTTATGGCAGCTATCCTAGTAGATATGGAGTAGTATCTAATTCTGGTTTCAATTTGCATTTCCATAATAACTTCTGAAGTCAGCATCTTTTCATGTGCTGATGGATCTTTGCATGTCTTCTTTGAGAAGTGTCTACTCATTTCTTTTGCCCATTTTTAAAATTGAAGAAAAATACACATAACATAAGATTAACCATCTGTTATGGTTGATACATTGTATCAACTTGAGAAGTTTAGAAGTTTTAACTCACTCAGCAAGAAGCCAGGATTCTTTCTTTGTAAATATTTCTATCCTGCGCAAGACCAGGGCCCAGAGATTTTGTGAGTGCTACACCCACCTTGGAGGTGGGGGCTGTACACCATAAGGCTTGCTCTTCCTCCCCTTTTTGATCTAGTTTCTGCCTTGAAGTGTTGCCCCTCAGCAGTGCCTCCCTGCCTTGGCCAGCTGATTATGGACTGAAACCTCCACAAACAGTAAGCTAAGTAAACCTTTCCTTCCTTCATTTTGGGTGTCAGGTATAAGACAAAAGTAACCAAGAGACCATCTTAAAAGATATAGTTCAGTGGCATTTCATGTACTCAAAATGTTGTGCAAGCATCACGTCTATCTAGTTCCCAAATGCTTTTATTACTCCAAAAGGCCTCCTATTTCCATTAAGTAGACTGCCATTTCCCTGATCTTAGCCCCTGTCAGTCATGAATTTACTTCTTGTCTGTATGAATTTACCTATTTTGTAAATTTTACAAATGGATTTACTCACTGTCTGGTTTTTTGCATCTACTTTCTTGCATTGAACATAATGTTTTGGGCTCATCTATATCTTAGCATATATCAGTACTCTCTTTCTTTTAAAACTGAGAAATCTAATAGTCATTGATCCATTCATCGAGTAATGGAAATTTGGATTATTTCCATCTTTAGTTATTATGAATAGTGTTGCTATGAACATTTACATACAAGTATGTTTGAATGCCTGTTTTTGATTCTTTTGAATATATACATAGGAAAGGAATTGTCAAGCATTATGGCAGTTCTATGTCTAACTTTCTGAGGAACAGTAGAATTTTTTCCAAAGCACTTAGCCCACTTTTAAAGGGTGTTACTTCTTTCTGTTTTCAAGTTGCAGTAATTCTTTCTATGTTCTGATACCAGTGTCCCTTATGAGAACCTGACTGGCAGTTCTCTTCCCTTCTATGGGTTGTCTTTTTTCCCTCTTCTCCCACCTTTCCCCCTGCTTCCTCCTCCTCCTTTTGTAGTACTGGGCATTGAGCCTTGAGCTACATCCTCAACTCTTTGGTAAATTAAGTGTTTTAATTTTGTTGTTTTGGTTTTTGTTTTTTGTTTTTTTGTCTTTTTTGAGACGGGGTCTCGCTATGCAGTTCAGGCTGGCCTTGGCCTTGAGCTCACCTGAGCCCAGGCTGGTCTCGAACTCACAGTGATCCTCCCATCTCAGCCTCCCGAGTGCTGGGAGTACAGGCGTGAGCCACCATGCCCGGCAAGTGTTTTGATTTTGATGATGTCCAATTTACTTTTTCTTTCTTGCTTATGTTTTTGGTGTCATATCTAAGAAACCATTGTTTAATCCAAGGTCACAGCAGTTTACTCCTGTGTTTTCCTCTGTTTCATAGTTTTATATCTTTTACGTATTTCTGTTCATTGTATGTGAGATTTTTTTTTTAAGTTGGGGGTCCAACCCTATTCTTTTACATGTGGGAATCTACCAGCACCATTTGTTGAAAGACTGTTCTTTCTCCCACTGACTGGCCTTAGGCAAATCAACTGATCGTAAATCTGAGGATTTACTTCTGGACTCTCAGTTCTGTTCCATTGGTTCCTATTGTCTGTCTTTATGCCAGTAACACACTGTAGATTCCTGGAGCATTGCCGTAAGTTTTTAAGTCAGTGAGTGTAAGTCTTCACCTTCTTCTTTTCCAAGACAGCATTTGGCTATTCTGCATCCCTCGCCTTGTCATATAAATCTTAGGGTCAGTTTGTCACTTGTCATTTTCTGCAAAGAAGTCAGCCAAGGTTTTGATGGCGTTAAATCTATATGTCAATTTGAGAAGTATTTCCATCTCAGTGATTTCTGATCTAGGAACAAGAAGGTCTCTTGCCATCAATTTTGAATTGATTTCTTTCAACAGTGTTTTATAATTTTAGAGTGTACATTTTACACTTCATTTATTAAAATTTAAGTGATAAAATTTTTACCATTTTAATTGCATTTCCCATTGTTCTTTACTTGCCTATATATAGAAATTCAGTTGAGTTTTAAACACTGACCTGTTCTCAAGCCTTGCTAAGTTTATGTTTGTTCTAGTTTCTCAGTAGATCTATAGGGTTTTCTATATAAATGATCATGTCATAACAGTTAAAGACACTACCTTCTTGTACCACACCTTCATGCCTTTTATGTTTTTAAACCAACTTCACTGGGTAGCAGGTCTAGTAAAGTGTCAAATAAAAATTGCAAGTGAGTACAGCCTTTCTCCTGATCATCAGAGGAAAGCGTTCAGGATCACTAAGCATGCTATAAGCAATAAGGACTTTTCAGCCTTTCTAGAGTTTTCATAAAGGACTTTAACACTGATTCAAATCAGGAGATGCCAATGTTAATCCTGGGACTTTCAGTAGAAATCAACTGTGATATTTATTCAAGACAGATTTTCCAGGCACAGGACAGAAGTCCCACCCACAATATAACACGCGAAAAGGAAAGTGTTGCCACATAATAAGAACACTGGTGTCGATATGCCCAGGTGCAGGGAACCTGGGCATAGAAACGTCTCCAGAAACACGCCTCTCTCCATCTCTCGGCTCTTATTTTTACATATTGGCTTCAGCTTCTGCAGATTCCCATCACTGCCTCTCATCACCTCATTTTGCCAAATGCTGACTGCAGCTCCAGCCAGCTTAGGACCCTTGCAAAAAGAAAGAGCTCTGTCTTTTCAGTATTTCTGAAAAACATTCTCAAGACTCATTATTTGACCAACTCAGATCATACAGCCATTCCTGAACCAATTTCTAGGACTAGAGGAATAAAACAGCCATGAAGTTAGGCCTGCGCCCTATGCTCTTCCTCCTGGGACCAGCTGCATCCAAGTGGAGAGGGGCAGATTCCTCAGAAAAATCAAAGTATTACCCAAAAACAAAGGACTAGGTCCCAGCCAGGCATAAACCACAGAGTCCCTATGCTGTTCTATGGAACACCTCTCAATGGTCCAGATCGGGCGCTGTCACTGGACTCTATCTTCAGTTTCCCCATTCATGGGCTTCAGATAATGACCCGTTCCTTGTACTCGTCTGAAAGATCCACAGAGGCAGTGAACCACAGAGCTGTGTCCAAACTGTAAAGTGTGGTGCACAGGTGTGGCTGGAGATCACAAGAATGATGACCCGTCTCTCCTCTTCTGTGTTCCTCCTAGAGCACCTGAAGAAGCCACTTGAAGACTACATGGCCCTTTTCCCCAGTGTGAGGATCCTCCGAACCAAGAGACGTGAAGGCCTGATAAGGACTCGAATGCTGGGGGCCTCGGCAGCTACTGGGGACGTCATCACATTCCTGGACTCGCACTGTGAGGCCAATGTCAACTGGCTTCCCCCCTTGCTCGGTAAGTGGGAGGAAGTGAACCAGCTGCCACTGGCCCCTGTGGGCTGCCAGATGTCAGCTGCGAGGGCTCCCATGCCGGATGGAGTCCACCCAGCAGAAGGCCGTGCGCCAGAGTGCACTGAGAAGGTCAGGAGCTCTCAGAGAGACCTTAAGTGCCCAGTCTGCCCTGTGCTTCAGTCCACAGAGAGGGGAGCTGAGACTCAGCCAAGGAACAGCATGCTGGGCTGGAAGTGTCCCCTTTTCACAGTAACAGAAACTGCAGTTCAGACATAGCAGGGGACTAGCTTGTCCCCTTGGGTCACCAACATCACAGTCACCCTTTGTCTGGTTCCCCTAGTTCTGCCTCCCAAGTTCATCTCCTCTCAGGAAGGAGTTTCTGACAGAGGCTAGGGCAGGGCCACAAAGGCCGGCGTGGCTCCAGAGCCACCCACCTTCGCCTGCTGACAGCTGGGGGCCGTGAGGATTGGGTGCTGGGTGCGAGGTGCCTCCGCATGGCCCAGCTCCTAAGGAGTCTGCTCTGAGGAACTCAGCAGCCTGGGAAGGAGTTACCAGTGTAGGGAGGAAAGGAAACTCCACAGGAGAGTCCCCTAAGCTCTCTCCATCTCAGAGGGCATGGGGACAAAGAGGACGAAAGTGACGTACTAAGTGTAGCACGTAGCAGAATCACCCAGAGGATTTGTTAGGGCGTAGCTCTGTGCCCCACCTCAGAGGTCCCCATTGGAGCAGTCAGGGAGGGCCTGAGCAGATGCACAGCTGACCGGCTCCCAAGCAGTTCCCTCCCATATTGGGGTCCCCGGACCCCATGCGGAAGAGCCGCCAGCAGACACCACCATGGTGGGTCAGGGTGCCAGCAGCCAGGCCCACACTCTTCAGGAGGATGAGCCCCAGACCAGCAGAGGATTTTGTTACCAGATTATGGACTTCTGACACCCCAAGTCCGGGATCTTCAGTGGGTTAGCAAAAGATTGCATCTGCCTCTCATTACTGAAAGAGCTAGAGAAAGAAAGCCTCACCATAAATCGCCTGATTTATAGTCCTGCAGGAACAGCCCATCTGCAGGGTCATCCAGTGACTCCTGAAGGGAATGCAGCGGTGGGCGCGGAGCTGAGCTTGTGTTCAAATGGCCTTTCCCTGTCCCCGTGGAAACCTGCAAGGGCAGCTCTCATCACCTGCACGCATGCATGGAAGAAACAGCTACCTTTCCTTTTTCTTTTTCTAATATGTGAACCATGATGTAGATTTAAAAGTTTTTCCCTCTAATATCAGTGACTGACAGAGCTCTGAGTGGTTTTTGTCTATGAAACCATTAACACCCCCAGGCGTGGCCCCTCCTGCCTTCTGTAGAGAGCCGACATTTCTGACGCTGATGGCACATCATTTTTCATCATCATCATCACTGCCACATGGCTCTGGACATCCTTTAGCAGTTTAGGCCACGTTCACACTGAAGTCTGACTGTTACACAGTAAAGCAGGCAAGCGAGGCATTTTCATCCATATTTTGTGAATGAGAAAATTGAAGGGCAAAGAGAATGAGGGGAGACACCCAGTCTTCCAACTCCTGCTTCTGAGCTGCTTCCAGTAACCTTGGTCAGGGCTGCACTAAGCAGCTTGGCCCTGTAGCCTGCTCAGTCCTCACGGAGACCCCCATACAAAAGGTGATGTCTTCCTCCGTGTTCTCAGGAAGGAAGCTCTCTGTGTCAGCTTTCCTGCTGCTGAGACGTAATACCTGACGCCCACAACTTAACAAAGGAGAGGCTTCACGTGCTTACGATTTCAGAGGATGCAGTTCATAGCAGTTCATGGCTCCAAAGCAGAAGCAGCATGACAGAAGGGTAAAGCAGAGCAAAGATGCTTGGCTCATGGTGGCTGGAAAGCAGAGCAAGGGTACAGAGCCAGGGAGGAAGGCGAGAGGAGCCAGATATGGTTCCCAAGGTCACAGCTCCACGACCCAGCCAGGCACACCCAGAAATGTGCTCCTACCCCTGGGATTGCCCCCCCCCTCAATCATATGGACCCAGAAAGGTTTTTTTTTTTTTTAACTTTTTTTTAATCAGTACCAGGGATCAAACTCATGACTGTGCACTTGCAAAGCAGGCACTTATGCCACTGAGCTAAATCCCCAGCCTCTAGACCCAGAAAGCTTAATCACCATGGAAACTGAGGTCAGAGGCATCCAGATAGCCTTACCCAAGGTTATATGCTCATAGATGGAAAGCCATGGCTTGAACCCTGGCATTCTGCTTCCAAGCAAGCATAGAGCTGTGAAATGCTGCCTGGACCTCTGACCTCCCACAGGGAACCAGCAGGGAACAGCAGCCATCAGGGCATTGTGTCTCAGCCCCAACCTTCCCTGGAAGTAAAATCCCCAGAATGGGCATAAGTGATTAAGAAGTGGTGCCCTTTGCCTCATCTTTCCCTGCAGAAGATTATGAAGTATATCATTAAAAATCTTCAGTGAAGCCTGGTGGGGTGGCACATACCTGTAATCCCAGCACTCTGAGAGGCCTATACAGGAGGATGACAGGTTCAAACCCAGCCTGCGCAGCTTAGTAACTTGGTGAGGATCCTGTCTCAAAATTTAAAAATATAGAAAGGGCTAGGATGTAGTTCAGTGCAAAGACCCTGAGGTCATTCCCCAATACTTCAAAAATAAATAAAATAAATCCTCGGGGACCCTGTCTACAGGAAACCCCCAAGCATTCTGATTTAGTAGCCTGTTTAGGGACAGGCTTGGGAATTCTCAAACACTCCACGTGCAACTGGGTTTGGTGGCCCCAACCCATGCTTAGATGCTTGGGGGTACATGGCCTAAGACACACTTCTCTGTCTTTTAAACCACCTATCACAGCTGTGATGGACATGGACACCTCAATTGAATACACAAATACATGCATTCATGAAATATGAATGAAACACTTATCCCGAAGTCACTTCTCTTGCTGTATCCCTTATCAGCTGGAAGGCACCCTCATATCCGGTACCCTTTCTTTTTTTTTTGGTTCATTACAAACACATATAGTTGATTTCATGACCCACTGATGAGTTGTCTCTTCACTTTAAAAAAAAAAAAGGCAATAATGCTGCTTCTCTCATAGAAGAAAAATCTATATAACTTGGTGAAATCCTGGTCCTGGTAGCTGCTGGTCTGCTCTGGCCTTACACAGCTCCCTGCTGCAAGATTTGAGCTTGACTCCTGGCCCAAAGAAATGCACCCCACTCACACCCAATGGCAGATCATCTGCCCAGCAGCTGACCAGAGCCCCTTGGCTTCAGACAGGACCTCCTGGCAGGAGGAGCACAGAAGGCCAAGCAGAACAAAGCTAGAATGCGTTCGCAGGCTGAGCAGAGAGTGGCTCATATAAAGCCCTTTTTTGTCCCAGGCCTCAAAGGGACCTTCCTTGCTCAAGGCCTTTGTTTACTGTCTTGCGTCACCTAGCCATAGTATTCTGCAGGGCAGTGGTCCACCAGCCTCTGCCTATACATCTGCAGTTTTGGGGGACAGTTCATTGCCTTCTGCAGCTCTGACTGGAAACCTGAGCTGAGCTCTGTACAGGGCCATTCCCTGGCTGCCCACAGCCAGAGGTGCCTGCAGCTGTGAGGGCAGACCGTCTGGGGAACGCAGGTGCCAGCATGCCCAGCTGAGGTGCTTGGGACTGTGAGCCAGGATCCAGACTTGGAAGCCCAGGAAGGCAGGCAGGACCGGAAGAGGAAATCCATCCCCTCCCATTAGCAGGCATCCAGCAGAGCTCCTGGACACACTGCCATATCCATCCTGATGACCCCTGAGGCTGAGCCCCCACCCTATCTCACAGAGGACACTGGGGCTTGGTGCCATCCTTAGTAGAGCTGCCTCAGGACCCTGTCATGGGAGGCAGGTCAGGGATGACATTCCTGGTCCGTCTGGCTCAAAGCCTGCTGTTACCCTTACTCTTTGTGTACTCTTAGACTCAGGGGCTGAGAGAGGTCACCCAAACTGGAGTAGCCGCAGAATGTGGGACTGGATACTTAGTTTCTGCCTCCACTAATGGGCGTGTCTTGGCTGCTTCAGACCGAATCGCCCGCAACCGCAAGACTATCGTGTGCCCGATGATCGACGTGATTGACCACGATGACTTCCGGTATGAGACGCAGGCCGGGGACGCCATGCGGGGTGCTTTTGACTGGGAGATGTACTACAAGCGGATCCCAATCCCCCCAGAACTGCAAAAAGCGGACCCCAGTGACCCATTTGAGTAAGTACAAGTGACCTGGGCACATGGCAGGGTCCGGCCATGACCTCTTTCCAGGATACACACAGCACTCCCTGTCACCACCTCCCCTGGGAGATCTGCACAGAGGGTCCAGGCTCCCGGCCTCCCTCAGTACCAGGTGTCAGATCCCCCACCCAGAACTAGCTCCTTTTCACTTGTCACAGCCTCTGCTCCTGGGCTACCGAGCTGGCCACCTCCGTGTCGATCGCCTCTGTGAAGTCTGCCGTGATCACCAGGAAGGGAATGGTCACTCGCTCTTCCTCTCTCCCTGTCAAGCCTGGGACTCAGTTGTAACCTCATCTTCATCCTGCCCCTGGGACAGGAACAGTGCAGGACACATGTCCCCTGATCCAGTTTAACACCCAGTAACCCCTGGTAGTAAGATTTACTCTTCCCGGTTTGCAGACAGGGACACCAAAGTTCAGGAGGCTAACGTACTCAGGTCACACAGCTGGCAGGTGGCAGGGCAGGTGTGAGGGCGGCTCTGGGCCCCTGCTGCTCCATGGTTCCCTAACCCGCTTTGTGAGTGCTGAAGAAACAGCACTAAGTGTTGAAGAAGTGTTTTACAGCAGAAGTGAGGGGGCGTGGGTGGACCCACAGCATCTTAGGAACAGATGCGTGAAATCTACCGTGAAGGGCTTGACAGCCCCTTGGAATGGGAGACTGAGGCCCCAGGAAGAGGAGGGCTTGCCCCCGGGTACCCCAGCACGAGTAGCAGCCCCTCTCTGGTCTCCTGCTATTCCTCAGCAGTTCATTCCCCAGAGCTGTTAAAAAGACCATGGCTATAAGCCCCTGGCCGGGCTCTCTGGCTGGGTTTGTTCCCAAAGCTGCTGTGCTTACCATAAACTTAGCAGTTTATAACCGCCATTGAAGATCTGATGTTCAGAACTCTAAAAGGAGTTTGCTGTGTGTCCCCCTCCCAAACGCTCTCAGGGAGAATCCATCCCCTTGTTTCTCCCAAGAGGATGCTCACAGTCCTTGGCTCTTCTCCGCAGCCTCAAAGCCAGAAGCGTGGTGTCCTCCCCTCTCTCTCCCTCTCCCTCTTGCACACCTTTGCTTTCATCATCTCATTTCCTCTTTTCCTGACTCTCCTGCCCTCTACTCCCATCATAAGCCCATGTGATGATTCCCATCACATGTGACTACCCTGGGCTCCCCAGGCACCCCCATTTCAAGATCCAAAACCTGAACCACATCTGCAAAGTCTCTTCTGCCATATGAAGCCTGTATGCATAGGTTCCAGGGCTCAGGACATGGACATTTTCAGAGGGCCACTCCTGCCTCACCACAACTGATTCCTGAGTGAACCCCAATTTCTCTGTACCTTCCCATTCCAGCTGACAAAGGGAGCCATTGGTGGCTCAGCCTTCTTCACGTGCACTGTGCACATCCAGGGCTGCTGAAGGGAGCCCCTGATGCTGCGGGTGCACAAGGGGGAAAAGCTGGGCTTCTTCGTGGGAATGGTGGGTGTCCAGGTGATAGGCACCATGGAGCAGACTCCATGAGTTTCTTCAGCCAATGACATATAAGCTGGCTTCTCCCTGCCTCCTTCATCGCAAGACAGTCACTCACTGCTGGTCTGGAGACAGGAGTTAGCCAAGACGACATAGTGCCGTCAGCCCCTGTCTGTCTGTTTGAGAATCAATCCTCAATTGACCTGAGTTCTGGGACAATAAGACAAACAGAAGGAGGAACTAACCCTTGGCCTGAGGTAGAAAGCAATTTCAACTAACCTTATTGGGCAGGAATCTTATGGCAGAGTCCCCCATCTGACTTCTGCTGACCCTGCAGTTCGGAGAGGAAATGAGACTTGCCCAAAGTGATCCAGTAGCAGAGGCTGAGGTCGGAATGGGCAGCCCCAGAAAATGGAATTCTCAGGGCCACCAAGAGGTAATCAGAGCCCCGCTTCAGGGCTGGAGGTGTAGTTCAGGGGTGGTGCAGGAACTGTGACAGTCTCGAGAGTCAAAAGGAACCCGAAGGATGCGTCTTGACCCCTTCGTTCCTGTTGCCCAGTGAGGAAAGGGTGAGTCTGCTTCATGTGACTGGCCAGTAGCAGTGTCCCTCCCAGCCCGTGTCTCAGAAGCTCAGTCTCCTCATCTGGATTCTTAGACCTGGGCCTCACCCTACAGTGGTGTCTCTCTAGCCTGGGTGTACATTGGCATCATCAGGGAGCTTGTTAAAAACTCCCAGGCCCACACCTCCAGCCAAGAAACCCAAAACCTCACACTCTGCAGAAGATAAACAGGATACGCGTGGCACTTGCAATGGTGGATACTTACGGAAATGTTCTGGCACCGTGAGGCAGGAAGTGTGGCTGCCTCCCCTTGTGTAGACGGGACTCAGGCTCCAAGACTGAATCACCCCTGAACTATACAACTCACCGATTTTATTCTTTTTTTGTTTTAAAGTAAACATATAAGAACATATACATATCACTCAAGCCATATATGCAATTGTAAGCTTCCTGGTGGCCACATTAAAAAAGAGAGAGACAGAAAAGAGCTGGGGTGTAGCTCAGTGATAGAACACTTGCCTACAAGGCCCTGGGTCAATCCCCAGCACACCCTAAAAAAAAATAAAAGGTAACATTCATAATATATTTCATTGAAACAAGCATATCTAAGTATTATTTAACCTGCTACCTACACTGACATTCCAGGTGAGTTCTTTTAGACTCCTGTCTTCATGCCTCACGTGTGTATTTTACACACAACACGTGTCCACTGGGACCTGTCCCATTTTAGGTGCTGGCATCACCTGTGACCAGTGGCTACAGTTATATATTCCATCTCGGTGGCACAGCAGGTTGAGGAGAACAGAGACTGGAGTACGGATGCCCCAGTTTCTGATCCTTTCTCCTGTCCCCCTGTCCTCCATTGTGTCTTCCTGGCAGAAAGCCAGGCATCCTGGAGGTGAGGGGTGGGTATGGACTGTGGCCTAGAGGACAGGCTCTGGCCACCACCCTGGCTGCCGTGGACCCTGGAGCAAGGTGCCAGCTTCACACATGCAACTCGAGGGTGACAGCTGTGAGCCCTGCCCCATGAGGTTAAGGTGAGGAGTGAGTTCATCTTATTGATAAAAGTTCAGCTTAGCGCCTGCTGTCTTCCAGCCCTGTTAATATTCAAGGGCTCCCCTTTTCCAGAAGGCTGCTCCTGTGCTCTGAGGACCCATCTGTCCGGGAGCCAGCTGGCCTGTGGGTTAAATGAGCTCTGTGGCATCGACATACTTACCACACATTCGCCACTGCATGAGCCGGGAGGACAGTGGGGCTGCTGATGGATGTCCCGGCTCGGCATTTTGCAGTGGAGCCTGGCCCGGCCATTCACAGATCTGCACGCAGCAGATACTGCTCAGGTCCTCTCTGGCCTGGCCCTGTGTAAGCCCAGTAGGAGCAGCATGGCATCCCCTGGGACTTTGCATGACCATGCTGGCTTCCTGTCCCCCAGGTTCCCTCCATTTGTCCTCGTTGTGCCCTGCCTCTATTTCCCCTCTTGGGTGCCTTCCCTCGTCCAGATGCTCTGGAATGCTGTTTCCTGTGTGCATCCTCCCTGGCCCCGCCCTGCCTCGTTCCTCACCCCCACAGCTGGGGGCATGCACACTCCCTTCACATTCCCATAGCACCCCTTCCGTCACCCCAGAGGCCCTGGTCACACTCCTGACCTTCCGGGTCCTCCGCCCTGAGGCAGCTGTCTTACTACACGGCATGCCCGGCAGGACAGCGTCCCCAGCACCTGCCTCGCAGTGCCACTCAGTGAATGATGAACAAGCCAGAGCTAAAGGGCAGAGGACACCTGGCCTCTCGGCCTCCCTGAAAGCACAGCGGTGCTGGCTGCTTCTGTAAACCCACAGCAGAGCGAGTGTCCATGCTGGGTTACCGCACGTGGATCATCAGCGGAATGCACTGAGAATCAGATTCCCAAGGCTCCATCCCCAGAGCTGATTTCAGGCTAGCAAGGGCCTAGCGCAGAATATGGCTTTTCATCTAAGAGATCTGCAGCAGGCAGGCCTGGAGACCCCTGGTTCGGACCATTTAACCAGAAGGGAAATGATAATGAAAGCCAAGGAGAAAAGTACTACTGTCAGGTGTCACGAGTATTCCCAGGCTTTGATCCTCTGAGTGAACTTTGAGTCCATGTGCTGAAGAGAAATGGTGGGCAGGAAGGAGGAAAGCTGGTCTTGAAGCGCCAGGTAAAACTCAGCTGAGTGCTTGGGACAGCGTGGAGCCACGGAGCCATCAGATCTGTGTCCTCACGCCTGCTCTTCTCTGACAGGTCCCCCGTGATGGCCGGCGGGCTGTTCGCTGTGGACCGGAAGTGGTTCTGGGAGCTGGGCGGGTACGACCCTGGCCTGGAGATCTGGGGTGGAGAGCAGTATGAAATCTCCTTCAAGGTGAGCGGTGCCCCGGGACCCCTTTCTTCCGGTCACAGCCTTATAGCCACAGCCTTGTAGCAGCTGGCCTGCTGCCCACCTACCCTGAGCCTGGGAGGAATGGAAGAATTCGGGGCCTGTATCTTCAGGACCAGCAGGCCGTGAACACGCACTTGTGTGTGTGTGTGTGTGTGTGTGTGTGTGTGTGTGTGTGTGCAGGTATGTGTGTGTATGTGTGTGTGCATGTGTGTGCATGTGTGTGTATGCAGGTGTGTGTGTGTGTGTGTGTGTGTGTGCGCGCGTGTGTGGCGAAGGTGGCAGCATCATGGAGGGCACCAAGGTTGCCTTGACCGTAGCTCTTCCCAGCTTGTGCCTCGCCTCCCTCCTTAAGATGCTGGAACAGGAGCAGCCTCACTCCCGGTCAAGGCCGTGTGTCTGTGAGGGAGAGGCCAGCAAGACCGTCCTGAGGAGAGGAGCCAGGAAGGCGGACAGGATGCTGCAGAAATGCTCTCTCAGAGCGGCTGTAGGGTCTCAGGTTCGCGTCGGCCTCTCTGGCTCCTGGCCGCCCCTCTCAGGGCTCCCCTGTCCCGCCTTACTGCAGGAGTCTGACACAGACTGCAGTGGGTAAAAGCTGCAGTGGTGGAGTCAGGAGGACCTGGGTTCAAGCCCCAGCCTCTCTCCATAGCTGTCTGAGCTCAGACACGTTCAGCTGGCTCTCCAGGCTCTCTCCTCACCTGAAGTAAAGGAGTAATGTTACTGCCTACCTTCAGTACTAATGTGAGGATCAAATGAAGTCACATTTGGGAAGCACTCAGGCCGGCGACTCGCTATTGGTAGACACCAAGAGTGAGTGAGGCAGTGTTCACTCTGACCTGTTTGTGCGGCACAGGGCTCTGGAAGCTTTCTGACAGTCATGGGAAAGGGTTAGCCTTGAACACCCAAACTCGAGTCCACAGTCAGCTCTTTATGGAATGCTGCCGTGTGCAGGGCTGGTGAGGAGCTGGCTAGCTTGTCCTGGGTCCTGTGGGCCACCACAGCCAGCTTCCAGCATGTTCAGTGTGGCCGATGGCCAGCCTGCAAGGGCGGGCTAGCACCATCCCTGTGCCTGCTTCCAGAACACCTAGCGCCATCCTCCCTGAGCTCAGAGCAAGGGCCTGTGCTCAGATGTGGGAAGGAAGGCTTCGGTCCTCGCTCCTCCTCTTCTGCTGTATCCTGGACAAGGAATCTTCACCACACCAAGCCACAGTTTCCACTTCCATAAAATGGGTCCAGTGATACTTCAACCCTCACAGAGTTGCTTCCAAGGTCAAATAAATATTTTTAATAAATACCCTCAAGTTTATTAACATTAGCAATTCTTGTATTATCTACAATACTGAATGATACAGAACAGGGAGTTCAGGACTAGGAGACACCAATTCTTGATTCACAAAGCAAGTAACCACCAGAAATTCCACTGAAACAGTCCTCTGGTTTAAAAGGCAGACCACATCTGTTTTCACTTCCAGGACTCTGAAATGCTCCCTTGTGAGGACACCAGCACCCAAATAAGAGTAACACTTAAAAAATTTTTAACAGCCACAAAGGCATGAGCACCGGCCAGATGCCGGCTATAAACAGCAGCACCCTGCCCTGTGCCCACTAGAGTCCATCCTGGACCAGAACTGACAGGACAGTGTACCAAGCCCGCATGCCTGATGGCCTGCTCAGTCCTCACAGGGCCTCACTGTTACACCCATTTCACAGGAAAGCAAGTAAGGCTGTGAACACATGGAAGTAGCTGAAGCCCAGCCTCCTGACTCTAAAGCCCAGTGCTGTCACCAGCTGGGTTTCATGGGCCTCTGTGGGAACATCTGAGGAGAGCGGCTGCGAAGGCAGAGGGCCTAAGATACCGGCTGCAGTCACTGAGGCTTTCTTGTCCGTTTTCGGTTCTCGCTGGGGTTCTTCCCAGGCTCCGGGGATTCTGCAGTCTCTCAGGGAATGGGTCAGAAACAGCACCTGGGGCTCCCCTCCCAGCCACCCTGGCCCACTGCTGGGAGCTGCCTGCATTCCGTGAGGAAATGCATCCCAAGCTGCATCCGAGCTTTTCAGAAGAGTAGCAATCGATGAGTGATGTCTGCTAGGGGTGCGGGTTTGGTGAGGGGTGGCACAAAGGTCATTTATTTCCATGTCAGACCCACAGAATCTGGTTTTCCAGCTAACCATTCCATGGGTACAGTGAAATCGCCCCCATGGAATCTGAAGAGTTTGAACTCTATAGCTCCCCCAGTCTGTCTATGAACATGGATTTAAGAGGCATGCTTTTAAGTTTATTCCCAGATGAGGGTATGAGTTCATGCGAGGACCTAAGCATCAGTAAGATAGGGGTCATCTTGTGTTCATTCACTGAAGTCCTGAGGATTGCCTGACACAGAAGCACATCTGTGTCCAGCGAATACCCAGAGCAGCTATGTTGCTGGCCAGCGCCTTGGTCTGAGCTCCTTGGTCTGATGTCCCTGCCGAAACTCCTCTAGGGAGAGCAGGGGACAGAGAAGGACCTGCACAGCGGGATCTCCAAACCCAGAATGACTTTATTCCATGTGTCCCCAAAGCCCGTCTAATGCTGCTCGTCAGGCAGTTACGGCAGAACCAATGGCATTTTCCTACACATTTACAAAGGACTTGATCCTGAAGCCATATTGGGCGTCCCTCATTCCAGAGAGGGAAGGAGGCTGGCTTGAGTCTGGCTGTGTCTGTTACTCTCAACCAGAAATGAGCCAGTGTCGGTGGAGGCTCCTAGGTCTGGCTCTCTCGCTCTTCTGTCTTTGACAGCACAAGTTCCAGGAGCCAGCAACAGCCCATCCGCCAGTGTGTGGTGTCCTGGCCCCTGGGGCAGCCCTGTGCCCAGCAGCAGCTCCCTCTGAAGCACAGGTCCTGTGTTTCAGCCTCAGCCGCCATGCACTAAGGCCAGGTCTGCCCTGATTCATCTCTGCTGAGCTCCCTGCTCTTCTTAGTGACAGAGAAAAGAGACAGCTCTGCAAAGCACAAGCATACTCCCAAAATTAAGATAAATTGATAGACGCCGTCAGGGCTGATGTATTAATAATGTGGTCCTGATTGCAGACCAGGGTGTCTGTCCCAATGGGAAACCCCCATGAAACATGTTCCAAAGACTCTGAAAGTTCTAGAAGAATCATCAGCTCTTCCCCCTCCCCACACACTGCTCTGAGCAGAGCTTTTGTTCCTGAAAGACAGAGTCACACTGTCACAGTTTGCGGCTCAGGGGTTAGTGTCCTGGTGAGTGACTAGATCTGGACCTTGGTGGCCTGGCCTCCCACTACCCTCAGGAGCCGGCCATGGTTCATCTGTCCACCTTTGCCCTTTCCTCCTACATTATGGCATAGGAGGTCAAGGTGAGCTGAACCCAGGTCAGTCAGACAAAAAGCCAGAGCTGATGGACACTCATCTAGAATTCCAGGGTACATATAACAGGCTGGATTAAGGGACTAACTCAGGGCGTGGTCTCACTCAGTCCCTTGGTACTGCTGTCATCTGAGCCAGTGTCGCTCTCAGAGAGGCCTCAGTGGAAAGCCCCCTTTCTTGTTGTCCTGTCCTGCAGGAGGCTCCAGAGGAGTCTACTTGGCTTGCTAGTCCCTTGGCCTCCCTGAGCTGCCTTCTCCTTGGCCAGGCACAGGCATGCCCATCCTGGAGCCAGGAGAGTGGGCAATGGCTGCTTCCCCCACAGAAAATCTAGATACTGTGCTCAGAGAGGGAAGCCCCCACTGTCCAGCCATGGTCTGTCCACAACCCCCAGACTCAAGCCGGTCTTCTGTGCTCCCTAAAATCCCTCCAAAGTCTAGCTCACCTCACTTGCCCTCCCAGCCTCAGCTCATGCAGGGGCTCTCCGGGAGGCTCAGTCTTGCCTGAGTCCCTGTGCTGCCTGGGGACCACCACATCCCCACATCCCCAGCATGGCTCTCATACCCCATGATGATGCCATCTGAGGACCCACATCTCTTCCCGCTGGGTTCTCAGCTCCCCAGAGGCAGGAATGGGTCCTGTCTGGCCCTGGGCCCCTGGTCTCTGGCTGGTGCAGATGTTTAAGTACAGAGGCTCCGCCTCTCCTTACGATGTGGGTGTATTTCCCATAAACGTGCTGTAGATTACGATATCGGAAGTCAGAAATACCTTTAGCCCACCTAACCTCCTGAAGACCCTCGCTTCCCGACACAGTTCCCGGAGAGGATCCACCAGTCCCTCTAGTGATCACAGGCTGACCGTGTCCCTGCCGCAGCTCTCTGCTGCTTCATCGTGCTGAGAAAGGATCACAATTCAAACCTTGGTTTCTACTGGATGTCATTTTGCACCATCATAAAGTCAGAAAATGCCAGGTCGAAGCATCAGCACTTGGGGACTGCCATCACTGTTAGTGACAAAACTGCCAACTGAGGGCTCTGCACTGCTGCGCTGCCTGCCCTGGACTCCCAGCACCACCTTCCTGGGCTGGTGTGTGTGGTGGGCAGGGCTGGGCTTCCTCTCTGGGCTCCATCCAACCACCTGGAGGCCACGAGCCAACCCCTCCCTTTGGCCTCCCCAACACATACCCAGCTGTGCCACGGTGGTATAACTCTTCCCCACAGGACAGGACGGAGTAACGTGCTGTGGAGAAAGCCCCTGGGCTCACACAGCTGTGTCAGCTGGTCTGGGTTAGAAGGGACAGATGAGCAGAAAGGGGCTGCACCGTGTCCCTGGGAGGTGATGCTGAGGACGTCTTCACCTAAGGGACACACAGGAAGTACTAAGCAGAACCACGTGATCTGACTGGTATGGGGAAGATGTGGGCCCTGGGGCAGAGCAAGCGTTGGGTCTTTTGTAAATAGCTATTTAGTAAAAGCCATTACATTTCTGAGCAAGCTCATTCTTCCATCTAAAATCCCACGCCCAGCAGTTTGTCCAAGAGGGACAGCGCCCGGATGAGGAAAGATGCAGGTACAAGCTGTGTACCGGGGCAGACTTGAAATGAGGCAGGATTAGATGAGAGCCAAGTGCATTTACTCAGGGAATGAGCATCTAAACAGTGGAATATTAGGTAAAAGAAGTTAGACACTTCCAAAATTAAACTTCAAAAGATGAGTGAGAAATTGAGACTTCATAGTTTTTTTAAATATGAGGAGGTCTGGGGTTGTAGCTCAGTAGTGACTCAAACAACAGATTTGATCCTAGCACCACAAGAAAAGGAACAAATAAATAACAGTAAACATTGTAAATACAAAGGAGATGCTTAAAACACCCTCGGACCAACCGATGTTCACTGAGGCCTCAGGCTTGCTCATGTGCAAGGCCCTGCATCCAGCACTGTGTCACTTAACCCTCGTGGTGCACTCCAGGCGGGGCTGCCCCCTTCCCCTCTCTGCAGGTGAGGAACAGAGGCTTAGGTGACACCCAGACCCCAGAGACTTCTGTCCCTAGCTGCCACTGCAAGTGAGGGGCTGCAGGGTACAGCTGTGCTTGCCACCCCCTGTGTGTCTGCAGCACTATAGACCTGCATTCCTCCTATAACTGGAGCAAGTCAAGGTGTCTTCTGAGAAAGAGGCGCTCAACCAGTGGTGACTGTTGGGGTCATCACCCTCCTGTTAGGTAAAGAGGCAGAGCAGCAGGAGATCAAGGACATGGGCCAGGGTCCCAGTGCAAGCTCCAGAGCCAGGTGCTGGGTGGCCCTTGGAAAGCGGCTTTCCATCTCTGGATTCTTCACCTGTAAAATGGGGTTGGATAACATTCTTATGCAGTGCAGTTGTGAGCATGGTATTAGTCAGAAGCTCAGCCCTGTGCCTGGAACACAAGAAGTGGTGACAAACCGCAGCTGTAAGTGGCAGCACCCTTGTGGCTTCTAGGAGACAACGTGGAAAGAGCTTGGAGACTGGCGGGACAGGCAGAGGCCATGGCTCTGGACCAGCTGTGTGAACCTTTGGATTCTCTGCCCATTCTGAGAGTGTTTATTTCCTCATCTCCAAAGGGGCAAAGATAATCCAGTTGTCACTGTTTCAGCAGTGACACAGCGTGGCTCCTGCACAGACAGCACATCCTGCAGGTCAGGAGCTCTCTGGCAGTGGCCAGGTTGCACTCAGACTGCTGAGTCAGAACCCTGGGGTAGGTTTAAGGCTCGCATCAGCTGTGCAGAATGGGCTGGGTCTGCTGTACAGCTGTGGGGAGTGAGCAGGTCTGGTGCCAGGAAGATGCTGGGATTTGGTTTTGCAGGGACAGAGGGAATGGGCAGGCTGACTGACAAGTTGGCTTTGTATTGTTGGGCCAACACTCGGCACCTGGCATGGTCAGTTTCAAAACAAAACTGGCCAGGACCAGGTCACATGTGATTCATGCTTGTACTGGGCTGTGTTAGGCACAGGGAAAAAAAAAGCTAATGGGTCCAAGAGCAGAGAAACAAGGGTCACACAGTTGGCTCTCAGCAGCACCTCACTTGGGCCCAGGGGTGCAGGGAGGTGGGAGGCCACGGGAATGCGAGAGCCCTCTGTTCTTCAGGCAGTGCCAGCTGTTAGAGACCCTGAGGAAGACCAGGCAGGCTCAGAGCTGGGTCCCGGAGAGACAGAGCGAAAGGATGCCTGCTCTGTGGAGGCTGCAGATCTGCCCAGCTCCAGGAGACCCAACCCAGGTTCCATTCGGGTTCTGCCCCACGAGCTGAGCAGCCCTAGAGGGAGGGGCCCTGGTCTCAGTTGCCCCCTCACAGGGCTGCTTCCAGATGCTGTGTTTCCAAGTGAGGCCAGCCCCCTCCTTTTCAGGGTGTAAACACTCAGGAATTGAAATAGTCAGATATTTAGTGCATTAAGCGCATATACACATTTGCTTAAACTCACATTATCTAAAAATGTTTTAATTTAGAAGCAAAATCATTTTTAAAACTAAAATAAAATTGTTCTCATTTTTTTTAAACCAATTGGATCCAGTAACTCTTAGGAACACCCAAAGCTAGAACGGGTGAGGTCACTTCCTGCCGGCCAGGCTTCTTACGCCAAGACCTTCTTGTTCACAGTGACTGACACGGCTTTCCCTTTTCCCTGGAGCAGGTGTCTGGCCTGCGTGCAGTGCCCCACCAACTGTCCCAGGTCCAGCTGAATGGCACAGAGCTCGTGGTGTCCTCCACACTCCCCTCTGCCCTCCGTTCAGCCTCAGCGTGCCCCTAGGAGGGTCCAAGGCGCAGTAACTTTTCCATTTTGCAGATAAGGAAACCAAGGCTCTCTGACTTAACATGCTTAGGGCCTGTGTTAGATCAGACCTCAGGGCTGTCTAGCTCAAGGGCCAAGCGCAGAACCATGCTCCTAGGTGCCTCCTAAGCACATAGGAAGGCCGAATAATTGGTGGTTATTATATTATTCCCTGGGGTGCAGCTGATTAGCATTTGAGCTCCACCAGGGTTCGCAGCAAAGATGCCAGCTGCAAAAGCAGGGCGGAGCTGTGCTGTTCCTGGTCGCTTCCTTCCAGAGTGAGCTGCAGCCCTTGCTTGGCGGGGGTCCCCTCCGCGAAAGGGACAGCCCCCCCCTTCCCCTGGTCCTTTTGTGTTTTCCTAATGCACATCACAGCTCATTTCTTCTCTCCTCAGCTTCAGAGATAAAAGTGAGTGATTGTCTTTTATAGACACCATAATGAAGCCTGTCATCACACAAAAGAAGTTTGCTAATAAAGTAAATCAAAGCAGCCATGAAAATGGATGGGGTGCAGGCTTCTGCAGTTTGCTTTGTACTTGTCTAGTGGCACGGGGCTCCTCGAGAAGACGCCTCCGCCCGCCTTCACTGGGGAGGAGAAGGGCACCAAAGAACAGCCGCAGGACATCTGGAAACTTCAGGCATGACAAAGCTGCAGGGCTCCCAGAGCAGCTGCGCCGTGCAGGGAGAGGGGGCTGCCAGAGCATCAGTCAGCCGGCTCATCCTGTCTCAGTGCCTTGTGTTCGGGGCTAGAGGAAATCCATCCGCTTCCTGCTCTCTGCCATTGGCTGGGCTCTTCCTGCCAGCTAGGGGAGAGAGAGGACTGTGGCCTTGGTAGCCAGACCAAGAATGGTACCCAGTAACTTTACCCCCTGGTCCCATCAGTCTCCTGCTCAGCTGAAAGTTTTATCATCAACTCAATGAAGAACTACTTCCTTTCTCTGAGTCTCAGTTTCCCCATTTGGAACATTGGGCTGCAAAAAAAAAAAAAAAAAAGCTGTGGGGTTTCCAGGAGGTGGCAGGTCTCATCCTGCAGCCATAGATATAACCAGCGTTCGTCAGGTTCCCGGGGCCAGGCACCAAGCCTGGTGCTGCTCATGGCCTGTCTGGAGAGAGGACGGCTTCTGGACAGTGTTCCAGTCATCTCAGGGATCTGACGGCGCTTGGTATGCCTCAGACCTCCCCACAGCTCAGGGTCACCCTGGTTCCTCAGGATCCATCAGGCTGCTGGCCAGGACAGCCAGGGCCAAAGATCCTGCGGTCACAGCACAGGGAGGCTTTGGAAATTGATTGCCGTTTGCACAAAGGAAGGTTCCCCTGGCCAGCAGAACTGGAGAGGCAGCCTCCTTAGCTAATGTGAATTTAATACAGAGTCAGGGAGCTGGATACTGGCCTGCTCCACTGCCCAGAAGACATTCAGAAATAGAGCAGGGTAAGGTGCCCTCCATCCCACACCCGAATGCCCAGCAGTGACCTGCCACACAAAAGGATCACTTCCACATCAATCACTCGGCACAAAGGAAGAGTTATTGTTATGGGATGCTGGCACCTGATCAATATCTCCTGCTTTGAAAATAAACTTCTTGGCTTGGCCTTGACATTAATCTACCATCAGAAGCCCATTATCTCAAGACCAATGTTCTGTTCTATTGACTGGCTCGGTCCTTTTTGCTCCCCCAACATCGGGATGTAATTGCATTTCTCCAGGCAGCACTTCCACTAATTGCAGCCCCACCTGGGAAGCTGGGACGGAATAGCTCTGGGCGCAGCACGGAGACGCAGGAGGCAAGGAGCCTTCGGTGTGAGATGGAGGAGCTCCTGGGACACTAGCTGTTCCACACAGCAGACCTCAGAGCAGGGAGGCAGAGGGACTGCTCAGGAGGAGACCTGCACGGTCACAGAGGCTGCAAAGCCTGGATGCTGCCTCATCCCTTGTCTAGCCCGCGGTTCTGCCTCTGAGGCCAAACTTCTCAATACAGTGGTTCAGAGCTCAGGCTCTGATATCCATTAAAACCAAGTTTTAGGGGCTGGGGATTTAGCTCAGCAGCATAAGCGCCTGCCTGGCAAGTGCGAGGTCATGAGTTCGATCCCCGGTACCAAAAAAAAAGTTTTAAACCAGGCTTGTACAGGCACATGACTGTAATCTCAAGAGCAGAAGCTGAGGCAGGAGGATCTCAAGTTCAAGCCCAAACTAGGCAACTTCGTGAGACCCTGTCTCAAAATACAAGGGCTGGGGACATGGAGGGTCATTGTGAAGACCCTGGGCTCGATCCCCAGCACCGTCTAACACACTAACTTACTGCTTACCGACCCAGTGGCCTCTGCTGAGTCTCTGGGCTTCTCAGCTTCTGCATCTGCAACCCCAAGCACGGCGGTTAGCAGTTGACAGCTGACAGCTGTCATGACAGCCGCTGTCACTGCATCCATCCCCCGTCAGGGGTTCTGTGACATCGCCTGAGTATACTAGAGGACGCTGGCCTTTGAGGGGTGGGTGCACAGGAGGCGGGAACATCTTTTTCTCCTGGCTTCCCCTGCAGGTGTGGATGTGTGGGGGCCGCATGGAGGACATTCCCTGCTCCCGAGTGGGCCACATCTACAGGAAGTACGTGCCCTACAAGGTCCCTGCTGGCGTCAGCCTGGCCCGGGTAAGGTGGTGGCTTTCTAGGGTGGGTGGAGGGAGACAGGGGACTGGGGGCCCAAGCTGATGATCACAGATGTGAGGGTGCACTCCCCCTTTCTCCAAGTGAAACTCCAGGCAGAAGAGCGCAGGCCCCTGCTGTCAGCACTCACTGGCTGTGTGACCTCCAGAAGACTGCACGACACCTCTGGGCCTGTTTCCTCCTTTGGTGAAAGGAAGTGGATTCCTTCCACCTCAGAAGAGTTAGGGAGATGCTGGTGTCCAAGATGGGACACGTGAAAATGACCTTAGTGGCAGGTAGAGGCCCCTTCTGATTTCCACATGTTTAAAGGCAGTGTGTACCAGCACAGCAGACTCAGAATTTCACAGGCATTACCTGGGATAAGCCGGCGTGGATACAAAGCTAGACCAGTCAGCTTTGCTAAGCATGTTAGACTGATATTAACACAGCTGATAGGATGCCTTTGGGAAAGCCTGGCACCAAGTGTTTAAAAGCTCCTAGAGGGAAGGAGAGGTTAATGGGTAAATCTGTCTCCTCTGCACCCTCCCCACCTTCACTGCCAAAAGCCACCGCGTAGAACTATTTCACTGCCCTGAAATGGTTTGCAGCCATCCCGCTCAGACTATACTGACGCCTGGTTCCAAAGAGAAACCTGAGAGCCGGAGATACTGGGTGGGGGCGGCAGGCGGTGCCCTGGGAAAAAACAAATCAGGGGACCCAGGAAGGAGAAACAAAGTGGGGGAGGTCGCCGGCCTGTGGGCGGCCGAGAAGACCCCACCGCATCGCTCACGCCGCTCCGCCCTGCCGAGACGCGCAGAGCAGACCTGGGCTGGCGACTTAGGGCGCCTCGGGCTGCGGAGCCCGCGCGGAGGGAAACGAGGGCCGGCAGCGCGCTCTAGCGGTGGGACTTCCCACGACAGCTCCGGGCCGCCCGCGCGTTCCTCGCCTGTCCTGCCCTGTCCTGTCCCTGTCCTGTCCGGCGAGGCTGCAACCCCTGTCTTCTTAAACCCCTTTGCCTCCCCTGGAACGCCAGAGAGGAAGACAGCGCACCTTCTGGGGAGCCCAAGACTGCGACTTATCTAGCTACAAGGAGATGGGGACCATCCCCGGAGCATCTTTTCTCCGTCCAGAGTTGTCGCTGATGATTTATATTGCTCCGTGATCAAAGAGAAGGAGCACCTCCGCCTCCTGCTTAGTGACCTCCTGATGAATGCAGCGGGGTGATGGCTCACGGTGGGAGTGATTGTTTGTAAACCGCGTCCAGCCAGGCGTCCTGCAAAGCCTTTCATACCTCAGGCTCTGACGCCTTGGTCTGCATGTCGAGAAGAGGCTTGAAATGTGTGACTGCTGGTGATGAGAAAGTGTGCTTCTAAGCCTTACTACGGTTCAGCCTCTCCTCACTGTCTGCACGAGATCCGGGTCTTGAATTTGACTTGAAGAAACCTGATGGTGCCCCAGGCCTCCCCCTAAGTGCCTCTTCCTTGCGCCCTGTGCTCTGTGGGGTTTTACAGTGTAAGTCTGCAGAACAATAAAGGGACTGAGTCCAGCACGCCTCTCCTGCTGCCCTCCGCCCTCATTCAGTGCAGGCCATGTAGAGAACCTGCAGGGCCTTTCTGCTCAGGGTCCCATCTCTGCGACTGAAAAGTCACGGTGATGGGTTTGGTGGGGTCCCTGTGGCCCTCAGAGAGCTGGGTGGAGGGAGGCAGGTGTGCACCTCCGGGGACAGCCAGTCTTGTGCTGTGTGGTAAACTTACTGGTGTCTTTCTTTTCAGCCAGGCATAGTAGAGCACACCTATAATCCCAGCACTGGGGAGGCTGAGGCAGGAGGATGGCCATGAGTTGAAGGCCACCCTGGGCTACATAGCAAAAACCTGTTTCAAAAAACAAGCAAAAGAAGAAAATTTTCTTTTCTCCGCCTCTGGGAAAAGGACCTTAAAAAGCTGTAACAGAAACACACACAAAGTTGATGTGACAGGAGTAGAGACTTTTCCACGGAGCAGGGCCCACTCAGTGGTCCAGGTGCAGCTGGTCTGTGGATAGACCTGAGAGAAATGACTTAATAAGCCCCATCTAGAAAATGCAATGATGCGTTGTTAATTTATTCTTTTAAAGAGTAGGTGATTTCTGTCTGCACTATTTCTGTTTTAGTTTTACTTTTGTTAGTGCCTGTTTGCCTCAAGTAATAATTACATTCATCGTGGAGTGCTGCTGCATGAGCATAACACGATGCATTGTTAATTCAGACAGACAGATGGACGGATGGACAGTGAACTGAAGGACTGAGGTGGGCAGACCAGAAAAGGAGAGGAAACCCTGTGTTTCAGAGGGTGCAGGGACGCACGCTCCTGCAGGCACCACTGTGAACTGGACATGGCCTTGGCCATGTTGCCCTGGTGATGAGAAACTGTCCCTGGATTGTTTTTGAGGTCAGGTTGGACTCTGCAGCACCAGGAAGCGCTAGGAGCTGCACAGAAACACACTGCTTCCCCGTCCCAGAACCACAGCCCACAGACCTGGGCAGCTGGGGATTCATCTGCGTGCAGAGCTCCCTCATGTTCGCTTCTGTCCCCTCTCCTCAGGAGTCTGCGGGATGTTTGTGTGTGAGCTGAGGATGCTTTTACATCTGTGAACATTTGGAAGGAATCACAAGAAGACAACTTTGTGGCACATGAAAAGTTGCTATCCATACAAAGTTACCAGCACATGGTTACATTTGTTATGGTAGTGATAGCTACTTTCTAGCTACATCTTGTCTGCAAAGCCTAAAATGTGTACTGTGGGGCTCTTTGCAGAAAACACTTAGACAGGGGCTGGGGATTTAGCTCAGCGGCATAAGCGCCTGCCTTGCAAGCAGGCAGTCGTGAGTTCGATCCCCAGTACCAATAAAAAGCAAAAAGACAAAAAAAAAAAAGAAAAAAGAAAACACTTAGACGTCTACAGAGCCCTGCCCAACCCCAGCTCCTAGAGCCGGCTTTCACACTTGAGTGTGAATAACTCTGGCAGGTTAGGAGTGAAATTGAAAAGAGGTTGCTTATGATATAGAGCGGGAAGAACTAACTGTGGATGTTGGGGCTCCTGACAATACCCAGGGAATTTCCCCCAACACTGAAGCTGTGCCTAGAGCTCAGCTGACAGAAGTTCTTGCTGGGCTATGTTTACACTGCAGATGAACAAGGAACTTTCATCACAGTTACATGTGAGAATTTGCCCTTCCTCTGCCTCCAAGCCTGTCCACAAACAGGATGTTTCCTCCCCTGCTGCTTCAATTTATCAGTATTAGCACTGTCATTTTCTATTGCTTATCTTTGTGCTTAGCAATAAAAGCCACAACAATGTTCAATCATCATCAAACAGCTACTAGAGATAGAATTACACCTTTTGGTTACAAAAGATATTTTAGTTTACCATGCAACTTGGCAGAACTCTTTTAGCTGAAAATGACAGAAACTGTAATCAAATTGGCTTAACAAAATCGGAAGGTAATGACTCCTATAATAAGAAAGTCCTGAGGTAGCACTGGCTTCAGGTAGGGCTGGATTCAGGTGCTACAGGACCATGTTCTTCAGTCTAGCCCTCAATCTCTGCCTCACTGAGTTTGATTTCATCCTCAGACAGCCAGCAACCATGGCTGACATCTAACCCAACAGATCTTACACAGCAATCCAAGCAGGCGCAGAGCAATTCCCCAAGTAATCTCAGCAGATTGGCACCATGTAGGTCACTGTTACACAGTCCCTGCATCCAGAGATATCTGTATTCATACTAGCTAGGTTGACTTGCATGCCTTTCTCCTAGCCATATGAACTAACAATCACACAACCGAGAACTCCCCGAAGGGAAACAGCTGGGGGCCATCACTGGCATAGAAGGGCATGGAAGATAGGCAGGCTACACAAGAGCTTTCCCCAACTATAAGTCATGGAACCCTAATAACATGCATACATGATAAACTGAAGCAGGCAGCACTGGACCAGGGGTGGGCTCTGCAATTGCGTCATCGGGCTTTGCTCCTCGTAAGCATGGCAGAGTGACTCACACGACCTAGGAAAAGTTGACCCGCTGCCTCGCCCTGCCAGCTTGCACCCCACACCTGGCTGGACACTGCAGCCCCCTGACTGCTCCTCCTCCCTGCTCCCACCCGCAGAACCTGAAGCGCGTGGCGGAGGTGTGGATGGATGATTACGCCGAGTACATTTACCAGCGCCGGCCCGAGTACCGCCACCTCTCGGCTGGGGACGTCGTGGCCCAGAAGAAGCTCCGCAGCTCCCTGAACTGCAAGAGCTTCAAGTGGTTCATGACCAAGATCGCCTGGGACCTGCCCAAGTTCTACCCGCCAGTGGAGCCGCCTGCCGCAGCCTGGGGCGAGGTGAGTATGGTGGTCCTCAGCACCAGAGCGCCGGAGTAGAAAACTGTGTCTTCCTGTTCTCTCCTTAACCTAGTCCTGCTGTTTTTTAAAAAACCTTGCCATCTAACATTCTACATATAGAAATATTAGAGCTTTATTAGCATGAATTTCTCTTTTCATCTTTCTGATATGCAGGGCCAGGTATCTTTTGTTGTTGTTGTTGTTGGGCTTTTTGTTGTTTTTTTTTCCTTTTTGTTTTGCAGTGCTGGGGATCAAACCCAGGTCCTCATGCATGCCAAGCACACGCTGCAGCCCCTGGTGCCAGTTTTAAATGCAAATGTACTTTACTGGGGACGGTAACACTTACTTGCAATCCCAGCACAGAAGGAGACTGAGGCAGGAGAGTGGAGAGTTTGAGTTCCTCCTGAGGAGCTTAGTAATTTAACAAGACGCTGTCTCAAAATTAGCAATGGGAAAGGGTGGGGACATAGTGCAGTGGTGCGGCCCCTAGGTTCAGCCCCAGTACAGTCGTCAGGTGAAGAAGCACATGGCTTGTGTTCACAGTGTGGTTTGTGCACTTCTTCCTGGGATGGTGATGGCACCGCGCAGAGCTACTCAGTGGGTTTCCTCAGTCACAGATGCCACACGCTGGCCACTGCTCACCTTGAGTCCTGCTGAGCTCCTTGCATGTCAGATCCCCCCAGTTCTGTGCTTGTGGGCCTCACAAACACCAGCACACCCAGGGCGGCAAGAGGCAGTGAGCCTTCTTACACGCTGGTCTCCTTTGCTCATGTGTGGGCCTTTGTTTCATTTACAAACCAGGGCTAAAAGATAAAATGATCAAGCATTTCAAAGTTGAGCATAGTAGTACATGGCTATAACCTCAATATTTGGGAGGCTGGGGCAGGGGAATCTTAATCCAGCCTGAACTCCACAGTGAGACCCTGTTACAAATAGTAAAGACAAAGTGGACTTCAAAGGAAACATAGACTGTCCTGAACACAGGGCCTTGTGTCCCTGTATGTAGTACCTGTCACAGCCCAGCGGACACCATGCAGAGAGGCATTACTCCCAACTGTGAATTCTGGGACCCAAAGCTAGAGCATCATTCACAGATCATGGCTTAAAACAAGAGCAGAAGAGTCGGGTCCCTTTCCGGAGCCCAGTGCAAGGGGGAGCTTTTTGGTTCCCACTGGAGCCTGGCTACACTTGGCTTCCTGTTACACTGGCCTCGTGCTCATCCTGAAGGTGGCTATCCCAGCGGAAGTGGGGGTCACAAGGCGCAGGGGGAGCAAGGCAGGACAGGCACTGGCCACTGTGGGGTAGAGGGGCTGGAACACGGGAAAGCCAACACTGTTAACAGAAGAGGGAGAGGTGATCCCAGCCAGCAGAAGCAAGGGGAGAGGGTCCCCTTCAAATCACAGCAATTAGGGAGACCCTTGCTGACCCAGGAGCCAGGAGCCGCACCTCGTGAAGTTCTCCGGCTCTGTACCTGTGCATCAGTCCTCCCCTGCTAGTGCAGATCCTCCAGGAAGCAGATGCCATATGGGTGAGCCATGCAAGTGAGTCACAAGAGGCTGCATGAGGGCGACAGGTCTGACATCTGAAGAGGCACACAGAGGAAGGAGAGTGGTGTCGGAAGAGTCTCAGCCCGCAGCACAGCTCTAAGGAAGTCTGAGGCCGATTAACAAGGATCCTCCAAACAAATCACCCATCAGAGGAGTTCAGCATCCCCCTGCACAGGCCTGCCGTGCTGTCCCCACCTCACTGCAGCCCTGCGATGGACACAGCCGCCGAAGTGGTGCCTCTCAATAGCCTCTCCACCCATCCAACCCTGACAGATGTGACAACTCTGGGGCAGGAGTGACCCTGTGTGATGCAGGACCTGGCACAGTGTTTACTAGAGAAACAGATGTGACACAGGTGCCTTCGTTACTTTTCTCTCCTTACTGAGACAAAGTACCCAACATCCAAAAGGAAGGAAGGAAAGGTTTATTTAGTTCACTGTGTGCGGAGCTCTCAGTCCATAGTCAGCTAGCTCCAAGGCAAGGTGGCACTGTGTAGAAGACCCTAAAAGCAGCCAAAGCAAATGGGGAAGAGCAAGGTTATTTTATTATATTGTACACAGGCCACCTCACCAGCCCCCAGCGCAATGTAGCACTCACAAAATCACTTTGTGCTCCTTTAGCACTGGGATGAGGATATTTACAAAGTAAGAACTCTGGCTCCCTGCTGAGTCTCCTGGTTAAACTTCTAAACTGCTCCAAGTTGACACAATGTCTCAACTATAACAACAGGATATACAAATACATAAAAATTTATAAGAGCAGCCTAAGACAGCCACCCACACAGTTGGGGACCAAAGGACCCAGTGGAAGGTCCAAGCTTACTGCAGTGTCCCCTGCAAGTCCGTTTCAGGAGGCCAACAGGTCTACAACAGAAGGCTGTGGAGTCAACACCAGAAGGTTGAGGATCTGTGCTGGAAGCCAGGAGAAGATACCCACAGTGTAGGCAAAGCCCGGAGCTTCTCCTAAGAACCCGGCAGATCTGTCTGTCCCCTTGGTTCCATCCAGGTGACGAGCTACCCTAGGTGGGCCTTCCACATCCTAGGGTGTGGAATGGCTGAGCCAATGTAGTTGAGCTTCTCTTATTCAAGTTGACACAGTCAACCAACCAATCCACCCCTTGTCAGGTGGACAACCCAACAATTCCTTAACCCAGCCTCCAGATAGACTTACCCAGATTATACCTGACACATTATAACTATTCTGCATAAAGACAGAAAACGCTCTAATTCCCTCTCCCCATAGAAGGCAAGTTTTGTTTGGGTGCTGCTTATGTTTTTTATTTCTTAACTTGAACGATATAACCCAGGATTGGCATCCTTAAGAAGCTGTCCTGGGGCTGGAGGTTTAGCTCAGTGGCATAAGTGCCTGCCTTGCAAGCAGGCAGTCGTGAGTTCGATCCCCGGTACCGATAAAAAGGAAAAAGACAAAAAAAAAAAAAAAAAAGAAGCTGTCCTAAGCCTATCAACATTCCACTAGAACCCCGTTCAGGGAGAGACAGTACAGTGCTTGTCTCCACAGCTCATCACAGGGTCGTCACTGGTATTTAAACCACCTTCTTCTACTGCCCATGCTGTGCTCCCCGGGGCCTTCAGCAAGCCCCTCAGCAGGTCTTGGTTCTCTTCCTGGTGGAGGGATCGGTACCTTCCTTCCTGAAGGCCCTGGACACTTGTCATCCTGCCTGCGTTAGGTTGCTGCAGTTTCCCATGACTTATTAACAGACTATAGTAATACTAAGAGGCACCCTAAGGGATCTCTGCACTGTGTGCATACCCTTCCTCTCCCCCCCTGTGGGGTACGGTTTCCCCTGGACAGTCCGGGTCAGTCACCCCTGATAACACCATGACTCCCTTTGTAGCCTGTTTCCTCAGAGGCAGGAGGAGGCCAGAATGACCAGGCAGAAGTCTTAGCTTCCCGTTCAGTGATATTATTGCTGTGCTTCCTGGTGTAAGCCTTCCTCCCTCTGAAATTAGTGCTTCCAAGCTAGCAGAACAAAAGGTTGTAGGAAAAGGGAGCAAAAATGTTGCTAGTGAATCACTGGGGCTGAGGGTGAATGGTACCATTCCCTCTGCCACCCCTTGGTTCCTGGACCATGAATCTGGCTGTGGGAGACACAGCACCACATAGTGGGTGCCCATTCAAAGCGTATACAGCCTTCTGAAGAGCCTTGCCTCAGCCCTGCAACCTACTGCCCCGGGCTGGTACTAAAAGTAGGTCTTTAAAAGACCATTCCAGCTGTATATCACACTAGCCACTTCTGGATGGTGAGGAACACGGTAAGACCAGTGAATTCCATGAGCACGAGCCCAGTGCCTCACTTCTTAGGCCATGAAATGTGTTGCTCGGTCAGAGGCACAGCCTTACCCATGATGGAGCCAGATCGGCCGTGGTGCGTGGGAGTGCATGTTGCTGAGCTTGCGTAACCTCCATGCCCGCCACCAGGCCCGTGCCGGACACCAGCCTGAGCGCTGTCTGGTGCCCAAGCAAGTTACCAACTGTGGGTGTCTGGCTCCCAGCCCCTCCTACTGATGTTGAAGGATGGGAACCCCCAGTGTTCACTACAACATGGAGCCTTGGGCCACTCCTTGTCTTGCACTTGCCCTAGAAGGCAAGCGTCCAGGAGGAGAACAAAGCCAGGCGTGGAGAAGCAGACCTGTAATCATAGCACTCAGGGGGCTGAGACAGGATGGGGTGTTCAGGGCCAGCCTGGGCTATATAGTGAGCCCAAACAAAACAAAACGGACCCCACAGCAAAGAGTGTATATCCTTTACTAGTGGTTGGCAAGGTGTGGTCCCTGGGCTGCCTACCCATGTGTCATCTGGAATGAGGATCACATTCAACTCCTGGACCCATCAGCTCCAGTTCCCAGGATCAGGGCTGGGAAGCACTCATTGCCGCCTTCCCGAAACCGAACCTCCCCTGCCTGGCTGTGTGGTGACCTCAGAGTCCTCAGCAGCCCAGGGCAAGCCTCAGGAAACAGTCCCCAGCTCAGCTCAGCTGTCTACCTTGGTTTCCCCTGTCAACCTCCAGGGACCTCACTAGTCCCCCTCTTCTCCCTCAGATCCGCAACGTGGGCACAGGGCTGTGTGCAGACACGAAGCACGGGGCTCTGGGCGCCCCACTGAGGCTGGAGAGCTGCATCCGGGGCCGCGGAGAGGCTGCCTGGAACAACATGCAGGTAAGAGGGGACCGGGGCTCAGTGGGGACTCGGCACTGTCCGCAGCTTGTAGGGCTCAAGAATTCGGGACCAGGAGGCAGAGGCCGTGCTCGTGTATAAGGGGCTGGACATCAGCCTATGAAAATCTTGGAGATGAGAAACCAGCAGTTGTTCAGCCCAGTCCAAGTTGGGAAGGGAGACATCAAGCGAGGGCCGAGCTGGGTGTACAGGGAGCCAAGGGGCTAGGAGCTGAGGAACACACGTGTTAGAGCCAGACAGGAAGAGGGTGAACCCAGGTCTGCACGACCTCACCGAACAATCTACCAAACATGTACAGAGACTTGAACAATCCTAAAAGAAGTTCTTCCAGAAAAGCAGGGAGACCTTGGCAGCTCGTTTTATGAGACCAGCATTAAACCTAGTTCCAAAGCCAGACTAAAACAGCAGAGATTAAAAATTCTGGAGAAGAATTTAGAGTGTTACATTCGACAATATAAAAGGTTAATACGTTGGGACTAAGTGTAATTTGTCCAAGGAATACATATAATTCACCATATTAAAAAAACTAAAAAAGAAAAGCCAGGTAATCCCTCGGTAACCCCAGAAAAAGCAAACACACACACAAATCGAACATCCATTCCTGGTAAACCAGGGGTAGGAGGGTCCTTCCTCAGCCTGATCCAAAAAACACATAACATCATGCATGACACTGAAAATCAGTGCTTCCCCCAAGGAAGAGATGGCCAATCTCATTTCTGACTCAAACCTATTCAACAAGAAAAGTGAAATAAACATATTCAAATGGGGAAGGGAGAAGGAAAACTGTACTTACAGACCATTTGAGATGGATGTAGAAAAGTCTGTTGCGTCTACAGAGGAACTTCTGGAACTAATAACTGAATCTGACGAAGTTGCAAGAGACAAAACTCAATCATATCGTTATCCTAAGAGTAAAGGGTCTGAAATTAAAATTTAAAACAAGAACTTTCTATAACATAAAAATACTACTCATACATAATCATGTGAAAGTCCTGTACTTTGAAAAATAGAAACACTCAACATTGATTTTGGTTATTTAAAAACCAATATATAAATTCAACGCAATTCTCACATCCTAATAAACTTCTTTATAGAACTGAGAAAGTGACTCTGAAGTTCATGTGGAAGTGTGCAGGACCTTGAGAAGTCAAAACAGCTTTCAAAAAAGCAGTACAAGGTTCAAGGACAAATGCTGCCTGATTTCAAGTTATGCTGTAAGGTAGCAGTCACCAGGATGGCGTGACACCAACATTAAAAACATCAGTGGAGCAAAATAAAGTTTACAGGTAGACCCACACTTACTAGGACAACCGACTCAACATAGGCATAAAAGCTGGGCGATGTAGAAAAGATAGTCTTTTTAAGGTCCCAGAAAAAAACAGTTCTTTAAAACAATGCTGAGAATATAAAAAGGCAAGCCACAGACTGGGAGAAAATGTTTGTAAAACATAGACCTGATAAAAGATTTATTTCTAGAATATCTAAGAACTCTCAGAAATCAAAAATAAAAGAAAAAAGTTAATGATTCACACAGATACTTTGCCAAAGAAGGGATGGCAAATAAACACACTAAAATGCTTAGCTTCATTAGTTATCGAGGAAACAGAAAGGGAAATTCCTGTGACACAGCCGCGTGCCCGTTAGAAAGGCTGAGCAGACGAAAAGCTGGCGAGGACGTGAATGAGCTGGAACTGCCCCGTGCTCCTGGGAAAGCGGTGTGACAGCCACCTTGAAAACAGTTTTCCAGTTTCTTAGAAAATTGAACATTGATCTATTATGTGAGTCAGACATTCTAACCCTGGGTATTTACCCAAGACAGAAGAAACCATGCCCTACTAAGAGCGGTACAATTACATACACTGCAGTTTCCTTTGTAAATAGCAAAAAGCTAAGGGCCAGGGATTTAGCTCAGTGGCTCAAGCTCTTGCCTGGTAAACGCAAGGTCATGAGTTTGATCCCTGGTACCAAAAGGGGGGGGGGAGCTGGCTGGACAAAAGCAGGAGGATCACTGCAAGCTTGAGGCCAGCCAGGGCTACAAAGTGAGTTGAAGGCCAGCTTGAACTGCATCGTAAGACCCTGACTCAAAAAGACACACAAAATTGCAAATAGTCAAAAACTGAAAACAAGCCAGATGCCAAAAAACAGGTAAGTGGACCTTACCTGTCATGGCTAAACTATTACTCATCAGCAAAAAGGAAGGGCTGTTGGTAAGTGCCACTACAACGTGGATGAATCACAGTGGAAGTCGACTGAATGAAAGACAGAGAATCCACATACTCTGTGATTCTTTTTACACAAAATAGAAACTGTAAGTGAACCTCTCATGGTAGGAAGAACCGGAGAAAGCAGTACCAAGGAGTGTGAAGACGCTTTGCGGGTGACAGATGTGTTCGTTTCCTGGATCCTGATGCTGACCTCAGGTGTCCAGACATCACACTGGTCACTTTTTCTATGGCTGACACACAATACTCAGCACCCACCATGGGAAGGGCAAGCAGCTTCACTTGCTTATGTTTCCAGGGGATTTGGTTCATGGTCAGCTGAGTCCAAGGCTTAACCGCCCTGGCAGAAGGGCGTGGTGGGATAAAGCTTCTTATTCAGGGCAGCCTGGCAGCAGAGCAGGGGAACAGTGCCAGACAGAAAGGTGCCAGGGGCCAGGTATAGAACCTGAGGTCACATCTTCCTGACCCAGGTAGACACAGCCAAAAATGTGCTTTTCCAAGCCAGCCAAGCGGACAGTCCTGGTAACGGTCACACACATGCTCACACCGCACCCTTGCATGTGTGCAGCTTACCTCATGCTGGGTACTCCTCAACAAAGCTTCCGGGAAGGAAAATCAAAAAGGCTGAACAGCCAAACACAATATATGGGCCCAGCCTGGACCCTGAGCTAATCAGAACGTGAGAAGGAATCGGCAGGGCGGTCCAAGAGGCCTCAGTGCTGGCCGCTGGGTGCCAGGAGGCCCTGGTGATGGCTTTGCCGCCGGGGTGCTTGCTGGGGTGTTCAGGGCTCCCGTGACGCGCTGCCTGGGATTGGCTTCCCCAGGACCTGGGGGGTGGTGGTGGGTGGAGCTGCAGCAGGGCTGGCCGGGAGCTAGCTGATGAGCACAGGAGGTGCAGTCCTAGCCATAATCTTAAAATACAACTGAGCAGAAAGAGCACTTTGCCACTGCTCCGCTGCTGTCCCCGTGCGCACAGGTGTTCACCTTCACCTGGAGGGAGGACATCCGGCCCGGAGACCCGCAGCACACCAAGAAGTTCTGCTTTGACGCCATCTCGCACACCAGTCCCGTCACCCTGTACGACTGCCACAGCATGAAGGGCAACCAGCTGTGGAAATACCGCCAAGTAAGTCACGCCAGATGAGCACAGGACGCCTGCGGCATGACTTAGCTTGTGTTTTTGTTTTGGTTGCTTTTGTGGGTTTTGTTTGTTCATTTTTATTTATAATGTTAAGAATCAAACCCAGCACCTAAGCCAGGTGTGGTGGCACACATCTGTAATCCCAGCATTTAGGAGACTGAGGCAGGAAGATTGCCGAGAGTTCAAGGCCAGCCTGTTACACAGTTAAAGGACGGCCTGAACTGAATAACAGGACTCCCATTTCAAAACAACAAAACCAAAACAAACCTCAGTGCCTGCCACATGCAAGCCACTGAACTGCATTCCCAGTATTGATTTTTTAAAATAGTGTACCCCTTATTCCTTCTTCCCACAGTCATCCCCCCCCACCCTGCTTTCATTTGTTCCCCAAACCCTCAACTCAGGGGGAGCCAGAAATTCACATTTCTATGTGAAATCACAACTGTTGGCAGCTGAGTCCATTTAAATGGGAAGCGAAACTACACTCTGAGGACCAATGAAGATGTCTGGGACAGGCAGCTCGGAGAACCCAGGCCCCGGAGCGCGAGTGTAGTCTTCCCCACCCAGGCCCAGTAGACAGCAGACAGTCCCAGGGCAGCGGTAGCCGCAGGGAGGCTGGACAGCACCTGGCTGCGGGCCCAGCAGGCAGACCCAAAGGTCCGGGAGCCCGGGGCAGCAGCTTCCGCGTTGCCACTGTTGTTGCTGGCCTCTGCTCCTGTCCCCAGCGCCTCCTGGCTGACGGCTTCTGTGTTTTGTAGGACAAGACCTTGTTCCACCCCGTGAGTGGCAGCTGCATGGACTGCAGTGAAAGTGACCACAGGATCTTCATGAACACCTGCAACCCAGCCTCCGTCACCCAGCAGTGGCTCTTCGAACACACCAACTCCACAGTCCTGGAAAAGTTCAACAGGAACTGATGCTGCGGTGCCCTCGGCGCCGGGTAGGGGGCGCCCACTGCAGCCTTCCCCGCCTGGGGGAGGCCGGGCCTGCGGGTGCCATGGAGGTGCTAGCCAAAGAGTGGAGCCGAGGAGGCCTGCCGGTTCCTGCAGCCCTGAGCTGGGGGTGCGGGATCAGCACCCCCAGAAAGCTCTAGTTCCTGCTGCTGTCACGGCAAAGCAGGAAGACCTTTCCAGCTGTGTCACCTTGTCCCTCTGAGCAGCATATGGGGGAACGCCGGGGAAGCCCTAGGCCACCCCAAGATGATCCCAGCAAAGAGATGGCTCTCCCATACTTGGCAATGCTTAGAGCTAAAGGCAGAATCTGCCTGCCGAGGAGCAGCAGTTAGCGCCAGTGCTCCACCCACACCAGAGGGAAGGAAACCCTCCTGGGCTTTTTGGTCCTGTCTAAGTGGGGGTAACTGTCACTGCTGCCCAGCTTCAGTCCTCTGTCTCAGTCCCAGGGACTTTGGTCTAAGTCCACACCCAGACCCCTCAGAGTTCATAACACCACCGGCCACCTGCCAGGTGAGGGTCAGGAGGGGGACCCCCAACCTTCCTCTGCAGCCACGGACACACGGGATGTCCCTTCTGGCTCTCCAGGTACTTGAAATGCCCACTCCAGTGTTCCCTAGAGGCAAGGACAGTCCCGCTACCAGCCTTGGGAGCTCATTCAGTGGCCTTTTGCCCATGGAAAAGGCCAACGAGCCGACCGAGCCAGACGGGCTGTGTGAATTCCCCCATCCATGCTTCCATGTCCTCCTCTCTCCGAGGTAGCGCCCTGCCCCAGAGAGGAACAGGGGTGCCGTGAGGTGCTCACCTCCCAGGGGCTGGAGGCCTCCACGAGGGGCTGTAGGCAAGGCCCGAGGCCTCTGGCTCCATCGTGGTTTAGTTCTCATAGAACTCTAGTGTTTCTCAAGAACTCTGTGATTCCAACACAAGCTAGAATGTTCCATGGGGTTCTAGGATTCTAGCATATGGTGTGGGCTTGTAGAACGCTGTGATTCAAGTAGCAGCCCCGTGACATACAGGGAAGGCAGCGCCAGGCCCAGCAGCTCTCTGAATCCGAAGGCGAGAGGCCTTGGGAAGGGTGGGTGGTGACCAGTGGGCACCTGAGGCATTGGTACCTCACCATCTCAGCAAAGACCAGGGGCCCGGAGCCTCATTTGTGTGAAGAAAGGAGCCCAGTGTCCCATGAGCAGATGTGCACCCAGCTCCACGCCTGTCCTTCATGTTTGCCTCTCACAGGTCAGTTACCCATCGCCCTCCAGAGGGTTCCCAAACTAGTACCTGCCACCGATCCAGAAGTGAGAATCCCATTCCACCACAACAGCTCCTCCCAGCTGGCCCAGGAATGACTTGAAATCAGTGTTCCAATTCGAGTTGGGTCACTTGGTTGTACCATGAACCATTGAGTGACTGAGACATAAATCTTTGATCAGAGCCACGAATCTGCCTCAGAGGTGCTGGCTGCTCTCAAAGCCATCCATTATCAGGGAGGGAGGAGTCACCACCCCCAGCCACCCTCACCCAGATTGGATCCCTAGCTGGCAAAGGACCACTTCGCTGAGGCCCCTGCACTTGCAGAGTTCGCATGTCGAGCCCTCCTGTCCCTTCCCAGATGAGTGCCATAGCTCTCGAAAGGACTCAAAAGACGAGGCTCCTTCTAGAATCTAGAATGAGGACACCCAGAGCACTGCAATTTGAGGACCTGAATCATCAGAGAGCAATGCAGTGTCATTCAAGTAAAACTGTGCCTTTTAAAAAAGAAAAACAAATGCAAATGTATAGCAAATGCCTAAACTTGAACCATTTCCTAGTGCCTTGCTAGACAAATGTACAGGGGTGGGGCATGGGAGGGGAGTGTTTGGTGGTGCGGGCAGTTCCCGTTGGCTGAGTGTGTGTCTAATTGTAAACAGGAGATGTCGGACCCAGGCTGAGGTCTGAGATTGAGTGGGCCCCTGTCAAGGGCAGAAGCCAGAGTTGTCCCCATCAGGGAAGGGACATTTCAAATTAAGCAGCAATAGCATCTTTAGCCCATGGCCTCAAAGGGCCTCAGAAGCCCGAGAGAAAACTGTGAGGTCTCTTGCAAGCCCCCTTTGGGGTGACCACTGTGGTTTCCCATATCAAGCCCCAAACAGTGTACCACCCACCCTTCACAGGTTAAGAGGCGCCGTGTGCTGGTTAGATTCCCAGAGGGTCCCACTCCAAACAGGTGGCAGTGTTCTCAGCAAGATCAGGATTCCTGTGGCCTGCAGGAGCCAGGCCCGTCCTCTTCCCTGTCCTCTGGTTCTCCTTTCTGTTCTGGTTCACACCGTCAGCAGACGTGGGTGTATCCATGACCTCTGCTGTTTGTCACTGCGAGTTCTCAGAAGGCCCTGACACTAGACCGTATAGCAGGGAAAGGACAGGATTTTGTTGTTCAGATCTGTTGACTGATTGCCAATACTAAGCCCCTCATTTTGACCTCATTTTTGGAAATCACCTTTCTCGAGGATTCAGGTCTTTGCTCACTTCCCCGCTGATACTCAGTAAAACTCAGCCCGGAGCCTGTAGAGATGCTACCAGCCAAGTGACAGGTGAGAGTATAGGTTCCTTTTCCTCAAAAACTCACTGAGAGGAAGTCACAAAACTGAGTGTGACTAAAAAGTGTTGTGACCACGTGACCCACCTTTCCAAAGGCGTCCTCCGGAAACATTCCGACGCGAAGAATATTTGTTGTAAGTGTAAGGCCTTTGGAAACACCTGGATTTGCAGGTGCATACATGAAAAATGTTCTATCTTGTGCCTCCAGTTGGAGCTTTTGACTTTGAAAACAGTCCGGCATTTATGGATTCTTCCCTTCAGGAAGAAGTAGCTCAGGGGCAGCAGGGGGAATATCCGCAGAAGAGATCTGAGCAGGATGCTCAGGCCAGGAAGAAATGCAGCCCGTAGATTTCCAAAGTCTGCACTCCATTCACTTCAGACCTCCTATCTTTTGAAAGTTTTTTTCAGTTTAAGAAACAACTGATGTCCTTGACACTGGCTTCCTGTTTCTTTCTGTGTGTCTCCATTATGCCAGTCTCTTGAGCATCAAAAGAATAGCAAAGCACTTAGCATAGTAACCGAGAAGTTGGGATTCCTGGCTTCCAGGGCCCCTGTTTGTGTGGGCTGGGCGATCTGGCATAATTCCTAGAAAGACGAGAGTGGACGAGGGGTGAGGACTGCCATTCTGTTCTGGAATCCTTTAACCCCGATGCTTTGTAAAACTCCAAGTCATGGTTTAGCCTCAACCTGATCTTGAGCCAAGGCCCACGGCCACCTCTGGGTGAGTGGGACCCAATGAGGTCACCGTAAATGCACGCGGAATGGCTTTGGTCCCACCGTGCAGGTCAGCACCCTGCTCTCTTGCTGGCTTGAAGGCCAGGGCCCTGGGCACTGCAAGTGGGGGATCTTGGTGATTCAAACGGGAATGGAGTACAGAAAGCTGAAGCCCACCAACCTCTCCTCCGCCTGTGAAAGCGAGCCTCTGTGAAGAAGTGACTTCTGTGTGTAACTGTGACTGTGACCGATGATAAGTAAACTTTCAGACTTTCTCTAACGTGGTCTCTGGTGTCTTCCTGGCCATATGCTGTCTCCCTCCTCACCCTCCCCCTCCTCACCCTCCCCCTCCTCCCCCTCCCCCTCCTCCTCCTCCCCTTCCCCCTCCTCCTCAACAGTGCACTTACTCCTACTCAGACACTCAAAGGAACAGAGAAGAACCCCAACAGCCATTTTTGGAGGCTGGCCTAGCACAACAGGTTGACTGCCTGTGCAAATAGGGCTAAGGATAGTTCAGAGACTGGACTGAGGTCAACAGCCAGAATAATCAGTGAGCCAGAAGAGGAGGGAGTCCGAGCCAAGAGCAGGCTGGGAGAAGAGAGTTCCTAGCAGAGCTTGTGCAAGGGGCCTGAGGCAGGCAGGGCTTCTGGTGTTGGAGGAGCCAAAGGAGATGACCTCAAAGAATTCTGAGAGGCAGCCCACACAGTCTTAAAGACCAGACCCAGGAGCAAGGGAGTTCGGGAAGGCAATGACAGTATGAAAAAACTTAGCTCACTCTGATACCTGCCCATCAGCTAAGAGTACTTGGTGACCAAACATTTCTATGCTGTTGAGTTAGGTTTGTCTAATATGAACCTAACATTGTAGAAAAACCACTGGCTTGCCCACCTCTGCAAGAAGCACAGGGAGAGGTTATGCAAGACCTACCGCCATTTTGGTCTGCACTTACAGTAAGCGACAGGATTTTTGAAGATGCTTCCAGCGTCACCTGTGGTCCCGAGGTGAGTTTTGGGAACCTAGAGTTGGGTAGGGGAACATAGCTCAAGCTACTCAGCACTTGTCATTTAGAGCCCACCAGAGGGCGCTGTGGGTCACGGCTTGGAGAAGGGTGCCAGGCCATGTCGGAGAGAGAGGGTCTTAACCATCCTTAGGGCCGCCAGTGCCGCTTCCAATTCCTGCTTCCACAGGTACAAAGTCTCCAACCCAGAGAGGCTCCTGACTCACAGAGACAGTGGCGACCATCCAGGTTTTCAGGACCCTTCTCCCGTTATCCCCACACACTTCCACTGCATAGCTTTGTACACAGGCAAGGAGATGCGATTTTTAAAGCCTGTTGTACCTGCTGCCCGCACACTGATCAATGCCAGGTGTGGTGCTGCCTGCCCATGACTCCAACACTCAGGAGGCTGATGCAGGAGGATCGCTGTGAGTTCGAGGCCAGCCTGGGCTGCAGAGTGAGCTTAAGGGCAGCCTGAACTACATAGTGAAACTCTGTCTCAAAAAAATAAAAATAAACAATTACATGAATCAGATAAGACCAAAGAAATTAGCTGTTTGGTAAATATGTACCAAGTATCTACCATGCAATAGGCACTCCACCAGAAATTTAAAGATCACACAAGAATGAGCCAAAATACATGGACTGTCCACCCTCACTGGGCTTACAGCTGAGCACGAGGAGCAGACATTAATCAACTAGTCAGTACAGTAAGTGCACAGGTGGGGTCGTGGCGAATGCTACAAAGGAGGACCCGCGAGATGAGACCTGGGCCTCAGCACAGAGCTAAGCAGTGTGCTCGGAGTTAAGAAAACCAGCAGGAGGCAGGAAGCACCGAAGGGCTTGTGAAAATAGAGAGAGGGCCTCGCAACAGAGGCTGCTGCTGTAGGGAGAGATGCAAGGACCGCCTTGTCCTCTGTCCCCCTCCCTCTCCCAGGCAGCTGCCCCTGATGCTTCCCACGGGCCAAGTCCAGAAACTCAGTAACTCAAATCCATGGGAAGAGACGGGAAGGATCGGCCCAGATAGCTACACAGGCAGATACAGAAGACAGTATAAATGGAGTAACCCTATACCTTCGCTACTTTTCTCGTTGAGAAAAAATGCCCAACACCCAGAAGTTAAAGGAGGAAAGATTTCTTTCAGCTCTCAGTTCATAAAGGTTTCAGTCCATAGTCCTAGGGCAGGGCAGCGGGGCAGAGGGACATCACAGAGGAGAAACAGTCCATGGCAGAGCAGACAGGACGCAGCTGGCGGTGGCAGCAGGGACCCTGCCCTTCACTTTTATCCCAGCGGGGCTACAAACCCTTTGGGTGGCGTCACCCACACCCAGGTGGGGCTTCCATCCCCAGTGCATCTGTGCAACCACACCCAGAGCAATGCTAATTCCTGTTGGTGCACAAATTTAGTATCACACCGGCCTAATCCCAGTATCAGATGCCTTAGATCTCACCTGTGAGCACATGAGGCTTTGGGGGGACATCTAGACACAGGTCATAACAACCTTTTCCCTCCCGTTCAATTTAAAAGAAAATTGCCCAGCTCAATCTGTTGATGAAAACACAGCCTATAAAGAACAATATGATTTATATGATAAATAGGACAGGGGGGAGGAGAGGAAATACTAACACTGAGTTGTGATTACCCAAACTAGAAGATGTTAATTGTAACCCCTAGGGCAATGATGCAAACATAAATAAAAAGAATACATAGTAGTTAAAAACAGAAATAAATCAAAATGGCGCACTAGGCGGTCTTTAGCACAATAAAAGCAATGGTGGAGTTGAGAAACAGGTGCAAAGGAAAAGTCATAGAGCACTTGCCAGGTATTTGCCAGGCCCTGGGTTCAATTACCAGCACCGCACCAAAAAAAAAAAAAAAAAAAAAAAAAATCAAAATGGCAGAAGTAAATCCTTCTCTGTAATTACACTAAGTGTAAATGGATTGAATTTTCCATACAAAAGGCATAGATTGGCAGAACAAATGTTTTAAATGCTCCAACCGTAGCTGTTTACAAGAAACCCCACCTTAGGTTCAAAGGCACATGTAAGTTGGAAATTAGAAAATTAAAAAGATACTTCATAAAAGCAGTAACTTTAAAAAGGAGCTTGAATGACCACAGTAACTTGAGAGGGAAGAATATGAAAATACAAGATAGCAAAATGTATACAGAAAAGCAGCAAACAGAGAGGTCTATAGCTGACATGTACACTTTAAAAGAAGAAAGATTTAAGTCAGGAATCCAAATCTTCATCTTAAACCAGAAAACGAAAAGCAAACTAAACCCAGAACAAACAGAAAAAATAATAAAGATTAGAGACAAAATCTTTGCAACTGATTAGAAAAAAATTAATAAAACCAACAGGGTTTTTTTTTAAAGAGTAATTAGATAATGTACAAAGGAGGAAAATATTCTCCAGTCATATACTTGATAAGGACCTGGTATCCACAATCTATAAAGACTCTTACACAACAATGAAAAGACAACCTAATCGGAACAAAAATGTAAACATATGTCCACACTGTGGAATACTGTTCAGTTGTTACACGGCATAAAAGATTAAAACAGACTGCAACATAGATGAACCTTGAAAACATCAGGTTAATGGAAAGAAGCCAGATTTTGTTTTGTTTGAAAACATTTTTACTACCCAGGAATACCATACATGTTATCCATATTTTCTTTCAAATATGTTATTTCCTTGAAAAGATTAAACTCTTACTAGGATAAAAAGAAGAGGAGGAGGAGAAGGGAGAGAAAGAAGAAGGGGAGGGAGAGGTGGATAGGAAGGGAGAAGAAGGGAAGGGGAGGGAAGGAAGAAGAGGAGAAAAAGAGGAGAAAGGAAGTCCAGTCCAGTGGCAGAACGGAATGTGCAAAGACCCTATAGTGGGGGCCACTGTTGCGAGGGCTGGAGCAGCTGCAACAGAGTGGGAGGAAAGAGGAGAACCAGAAGGCAGCATAGGCAGAAGCCAGGGCCTATTCGGCCTCGAAGCTTTATTGCTCTTTCTTTTAGTAGCAGCAGGAACCCTGGAGTGATTTAGACTGTCAGGGTGAGAGCATCAGAAGCCGGCTTAGGGATACGTAACCCACGCCGGGTGCTGGGCACACAGTGGAAACAAACTCAGGAAAGCTGACCATTTGCTCAAAGCCTGGGTTCTCCTTCATTCTGCGTTTGGTCGGGATCAGGGCTGGAACCTGGCAGAGGTTGGATAAGTCCTGGATTAACTGAACACTGACCAGGAATATCGCTTCATATCTACTTTGGGCTTTTCTTCCTGCCCTCGCAGCCCACAGAGCGTCCCAGAGATAGGGGCCCTCGTCTGGTGTCAGATGCCCTTGAGAAAGCTGCCTCCTCCCCGCATGCCCAGACTCCCACAAGAGAACAGGGAGGCCCGTCAGATCGATCAGTCCAGAGAGGCGCTGATGTGCAAATCTTGCATCTAGGATTTGGCAACAGCGTCGGCCTTGGGAAGGCTTGATTCTCACAGTCAGCTGGGTTGGGTGGGTCCACTGCCAGGGCCGAGGCCGAGGTCCTCCAGCCCAGCGCTTCAAGGACTTTGCTGCAAGAAGGCTGCGCGTGGCACCCACAGCTTCTACTCACCTCTGGCGCCCCGAAGCTGGCTCCTCCGTTCATGCCGCAGGCCTGGGCGGCTCGGCCCTGGGGCCATGGTGGTGCCCCAGGCTGGTGGTGTACAGTGGTTCCCTTCAAGCACAGCTGCATTCAGGGCTGGCGGGGTGACAGCCCTTGGTAAGCTCACACTCACACAACTCCATGGAAACAAAAAAACAAAAAAAAGAAAGGTGAACCCTCCGAAAAGCAGGTTTCTTAGCAACTTTGAAGCCTTTGTTCCTGAGCTACTTGGAATTGGAGCAGCGTCTGATCTCCTGCCAGCTCCTGTGGCAGGCAAGGGACAGGGGACGGGACGCCAGCTCGGCTCCCGCACCAGGGGCAGGTGCACCATCCTGCAAGCACTGGCCGGAATCCGGGGACCCTCCGGATCCTGGTATCATCCCTGCTAAGGTCTTCACAGCTGCCATTTCAGGAGTTAGTCAATGAACAGCCACATGAGGGCAAAACAAGCAGGGTGGGCCCAGGCCGGTGTTCAAGCTCTGTGCACCCCCATTATGGTCCTGCAGTGCCGCCGCTGCACCCCCTCTAGGGACCAGCTCCTGCTTGCTTCTCCGTCACCTCCCAGCCTAGCTTCCTCTCCACCAGCCCGGCTGTTCCCTCCACTTGGAACCCTCTTCCTTGCCTCTGAGTTTCTGTCACCCTATAGATGTTAG